TATAAACCTAATAATTGTATTTTATCATACCTCACTGTCAACTTTTACTGGAATGAATTTTAGTGCAAGTAGTTCTTTTTCAATTTTCTGGCGCTGTTCTCTCTCCATTTGAAGATTTGCTTCTATTTCCTTGATCTTGTTTTCCTGATTAGAATGCCATTCCAACTCAGATTCTGATCCAGATGAGCTTTTCTGCACTCTTGCATGTGGTTCTTCGCCCAGTCTTTTCAGTTGACTCTCTAATGCTCTTACTCTTTCTTTATGACCTATAAAGACAAGCAGTTTCTTTACCATACTTTCCATTAGATAAGCAACAGTAAAATAGTTTGTGGTGAAATTGCACTCATGTCATGCAGGAAGGTAAAAACTGTATCAATATGATAATGTGAACTAATGTAGGACCCCTTATAGTTTAAACTACCAGACAAATCAGAAAACAGTTTAAAAAAACTAAAGGGTAAGGGCTAACTACAGGGTTAAAACAATTTCTGAAAATTGTTTTTCTCTCTGATATTGCATTAGAATATGACTGCTAGTACAGGCATGTTTCTAAACTAAGAAGTACAGCTGTATAAATGGCCACAAGTAAATTATCCAGCCTGCATGGTTAATGCTTGCTTGATAAAGTTAGCCATTTTGGTGCCTGGCCAAAGCCTCAGAGTGAGTTCAAGAGGAAAACCTCCAATTCAAAGTGTCTTGTTCATGTCACCATCCCAATATCTTCTGTCTGCTCTTGAGACACTTGTTTGAATTTCATCTGATCGACTGAAGTAAACTACAGCTGTTGCTTGTCCTTTATAATCAAACGAAACTTGTGCACTGAACTTACTCAAGTCTGCATTTGGATATCATGCTTTGAAATTATTCCAGGCTTTTGTCTTTGCTTTATCTGCAATTTCACTCACTTCATCTGATTTTAGCTACACAAGCCCCAAAGGGCCGGAACTTGAAGAGTTAAACATTTTCTTGCTTTTATAATCAAAATGGTTGTTTGGACAATTAATGCAGATTCAAATAATTACACAGTTTGCTTCTGAGAACCTCTCATTAAATCAAACTATATCAGACTGTTGTCTTGTTCTCTCTATAATTCATTGTACAATTTAAAGAGAAGAGGAGAAATATCTATCACCAATAGACAAAACAATGCAAGTGTTGAAACAATTCCTTCAGGCAAATACACTCTTGAGGGCCTTGTGAAAGCCCTTGTAAAAATTATTAACTGAAGGTAAAGGATTTAAAGTTACAACGAATGATTCAAAGGGTAGGAAAGGTAATCCTTAATCCCCAGAAAAAGAAAGTTAAACTCAATAGAGATCTTTCTTCACTCATGGTTTGACCAACATTTACAAGAGAAAAATCTCATCGGCCAATCAACTTTATTCACCTTGTCCATTGTGATCTTTTGGACAAGGATGGAAACCACTCAATGAGGAGCCCTCAAGCATTCTTGGTTGCTTTGACATTGCTGAGAGCCAGTTTGAAAGGGTAAATTATTCCTTGCCTACCCCCATGTTAGAAAAACATCAACAAGGAATGATATCATGTCCATATAAAGTTTCTGACAAGAATAAGGAGATCATTAACTTCTGTCAGTGTTATGCCAATGAGGTTTGAGTTATAGATAATTTAATGATTTAAAAATGTCTGCTGAAATATTCTGGTCCAAACCCTGAAGGGGCGGGCTGCTGAGCAGTAAGCCATTGGCCGGGCCTTTAGTGCACTGCTGATTTATTCAATACTGGCTGATTTCAGGTTGAAGATGATTTGTGATTGTCAGAAGGAACCTGAGAGTGAGATTTCTCATAACTGACATATTCTTGGCAAATTAAAGAAAATTAGATCTGTTTGCTACACAACATACCCTGTGACAGGAGTAACACTGGCTGTATTGTCAACAAGCAGTATGGTGGTTTCTGAGTGGAATTCAACTGACATATCCTTGGCAAATTAAAGAAAATTAGATCTGTTTGCTACACAACATACCCTGTGACAGGAGTAACACTGGCTGTATTGTCAACAAGCAGTATGGTGGTTTCTGAGTGGAATTCAACTGACATATCCTTGGCAAATTAAAGAAAATTAGATCTGTTTGCTACACAACATACCCTGTGACAGGAGTAACATTGGCTGTATTGTCAACAAGCAGTATAATGGTGGTTTCTGAGTGGAATTGGGATTATTGCGGGGCACCCATGGCGTTAGCTGCTTTTCTGGGATTTACATCACCAGCACTTAGTGTTGGGAGCAAAACTTTCAATAAAAAAAATTACAAAACATGAAAAAACTATTTCAATCACTGAGGCAAAGAAGCTGTCAGTCAGTGGGTTGTTTTCAAAGGCAATTGAAAATAACAATATATGACATTGAATTTGACTCAATTTTGTGTGTGATTGAGCAGTATTATTCCCTGAAAAAACAGTTGAGAAATAATGCAAAAAGCTCATCTGAGATTGACTTTGAAGTTATAAGAGAACAGATCAGGGAAAATTATTGCAAAAAAACTTGGACCACTTGTAAACATGATGAAGTAAGATTTGAATTTGAGAAGATCAAATGGTTTTTAACTATTTATTTCTTGACATGCAAATTTTTTACAAGAAGTTTTTAATCACCTACACATCACACTGACCACATGTTAAATACAAGATAAAAAATATGAGAGAGAAAGCTCTTTAGATTGCAAATATCATTGATAACCTTTAATTAGATTCAATCACATTCATTTGTTGTTTTTTCAGCAATTTCACAGTTCTTTCCAAACCTCTTTCTCTCCATCATGAAAAGTTTTTTGAAAATATTTCAGTGGCAGTTTACTTCACAATTTTGTAAAATTTCATCAAGAAAAAAGCATGCGATCTTGAAATGTTGAGGTTATTTCACAATATAGCAGAAAATGATGAACCATAGAAATCTTTCAAGAGCGAAAGCAATTCACCTTGCAAGGAGGAATACAACAAAAGTCTCTGTAAATGCTTCTGATAGCACTTGACAGCATATTTCTGGACTGAACACACTCCTCTGGTGTATACTTCTTTTGTTTCATCATCAACACCAAAGTAGTCCATTTGTCTTTCTTCACTTACTGAAGGGTCCAATTTGATGAGAGAAATCTGTGACTTTCAACTTCTGCTGGAACAAGCTCTGGAAATTTTTCCACCATTTTCATCTTTTCATCATTAGGAAAATCCCTGGTATTTGGAATCTTGTGACAATCCTTCGCATAAAAGCTTGAAGATAAATCGAAAATTCTGTGATACGTTTCTTGTTCATATTTTACCATGTCTGCAACAACTAATAAAAGCTTTTATGCAAATTAATGTGACAGAATTTGTCTGTTGCACCAGACCAGTTTTCATTGGTGAACAACTTTGTTGTCAATTCTGATGTCTTCAAATGGGCTTTTGTAAAAACAAAAAGACAGGTGATTTTTGTTCACAAACATTTTATCAAAACTAAGCATGCACCCGTGAATAATCGGTTAACTTTAATAATTGACATATTTTTTCCTGAAAGTTCTTACAATCTTTTTTCAAACTTGTCCCTGCAAGTTTGAAATAACTTATCACCTATCAAATAAGCTTTTCATAAAAAACAGGCACCTATGCCAATGCCAATCTTCTTTCACAATGATTAGATAACACTGTTATGACAGAAGATCAAATCAAGGCACACAATAATTTCTTTGTGAGAAGATACAACATTGATATTTGAAAATCTTCACACAAACAATCAATACCCCAATGGTGCAACAAGAGAATTGTTCCAGAGAATAATATTCACAACCCCTCTTCAGAACTCACGATTGAGACATTGTGAATATCATTCACCAGTGAAAATTCAAGTTGTCTTGAAATCAAGGTTGTTTTGAAAATGTGTAACAACTCTCTTTTTGAAATCAAGGTTGATTTCAAGGTTGACTTGAAATCAAGGTTAAATTTATGAGTAGCCTTAAAAATCAAAGTTGTTTTCAAAATTTTCCAGATTCCCCCTTTTATTTCTACTAAATGTCAATTATGATAAAAGAAAAACCAAAACAAGTAAATATACATTTCCTCTACATTGTTATAGGCAGTCCCTTGGATTTCAGCACAAATAGTTGAGAAGCACTTGGAAAACAGTAAACCTGATTTGACGACTTGTCTTATAATCTAATTACATTTTTTTCTCAATTTCAAAACTTATGGACCCTTCAAATGATCAGCATGTATTATTCAAACTCTTCTTTCTCTCCATATAAAAAAATCAAACTGTCCTCATCAAAGACACCAGACAGTGGATTGGAAACGTCAAAACAACAAAAAAAGAGAGTGTATGAGACATAAGTTAATTTTGAATGTATTTTTTAAGGGAAATTTTTTTGGAGTAAGGAGTACAACATTTTAAATGAATACACTACACATGCCCTGTACTGAAAATCTTACCGGCGAGTTGTCTCTGCAGTTGGTTATTTGCCTCTTTTGATTTGTTCAAATCCGCCATCTGTTTTTCATATTTTTCCACAAGCTGGTTATGATCGTGCTGCAAATGATCCAAAACATTTGTCAGTCGAAGTTTACTGGCACTTTCCGTATCGAGCATCTGTTGACAGCGAGCAAGTTTACCATCAAGGCAACGAATCTGTGCTTCCTTCGCATTCAAATCGTGAAGAGTCTTTTCTCGATTTCGCTCTAACTCTTGAATAGATTCAGTCAGGGAATGATTCTCTTTCTTTAGAGAGGAAGAGTTCGCCTTTTCATCATCTGTTAGCTTCTTCTGTTTGGCCAAAGCAGCTTGTAAACTGTCCAACTGAAACTGCCTTTGTTTGCAGTCCTTCTGGAATGTTTCACATTTTTGCTCAAGCTCGTACACATTTTTGATAGCATTGGCTGATAATTCTTGCTTCCATTCTTCTTTTGCCCAACTCATTGCCGAAGGAAGCCTCAAAGCTTTACGAAAAATTACTGAAAATCTCTACTTCGATTACGAAAATCCCGCCATAATTCGAAAGCCCAGTAGTGTTGTCAGATTTCCTGTGAGTGAATGACAGTTGATCTCAGTTGATATTCAAATCGGGGCCATTCTTGATCGTTGATTGGTTAGTTGGCCAAAACGCAGAAAATTCAAAGTGAGGCAAACCTACTGGGACAGCTTCTCTCGCCACCGGACAAATATGATTGATAAATCCTGGAACACAAAACACTTTGGTGATACCATAAGCAGCCGATGAGCATTGTTTACAATCTAGTTGTCTCAACAATCATGCTGCAGGCAACTCACACAAACGATGCTGTAGATTTTGAATTCAGTTAAAGTGTATGGGCATGTTGTAAAGCTTCATATCATCGCACTAAAATTGCTCTACGAATATTCTTATTTAACATCAAAAAGGCTATTTTATTCGGAATGTTGAGCATTGCCGTTTTTATGTCTGAGAACAGAAAATTTCAAGGGTTTAACGATGGATTCCCATCAAAGCGCACGGTTGAATGACTTGAGAGAGGGTTCAGTTTCGCCTTTTGTGCGGCGAAGTTTGAATGAAATTCGATATTTTCGGTCTGTTCCTTGACTAAGATTTACATGACATCGACCAATCACAGTCGAGAATGGCTCTGATTTAAATTATCTCAACTGTTAGATTCTCTCGCAGGGTCATCGACTGATCGAAGAATAATACTGGGCAATCGAGTTACGGTGGGATTTTCTCAATCGATGTAGTGATTTTCGGAAGTTTTTTGTAGATCTTTGAGCATTCCTTCTGCAATGATTTGGTTGGAAGAAGAGGGGAAGCAAGAACTATCTGTCAATGCTACTAAAAATGTGTACGAGCTCGAACAAAGATGTCAAACGTTCCAGAAGGACTGCAAACAAAAGCAGTTTCAAATGGATAGTTTACAAGCTGCTTTGGACAAACAGAAGAGGCTAACAGATGACGAGAACGCAAACTCTTCCTTTCTGAAAAAAGAAAATAATTTCCTGGCTAAATCAACTCAAGAGTTAGGGCAAAATCGAGAAGAGACTTTTCACGATTTGAATGCAAAGGAAGCCCAGATTCGTTGTCTGGAACTTCGATTGACAAATGTTTTGGATAATTTACAGCACGATCATAACCAGTTTGTGGAAAAAGTTGAAAAACAGACGGCGGATTTGACCGAATCAAACGATGCAAATAACCAACTGCAGAGACAACTCGCCGGTAAGATCTGCTTTGCAGGGCATGTACAGTGTAATAATTTAAAATGTTGCAGTCCTTATTCCAAACTTTTCCTGTAAAAATTACTTATACAACAAATTTAACTTATGTCTCGTACACTGATTTTAACTTTTCTTAAAGTTAATTTCAAGACGTTGTTAAATCAGGTCTATTTCAGAGAGGAAAAGATCAATTTTGCTGAGTTAAGTGTTTCCCAATGCTTCTAAACTATTTGTAGCGAAATTCAAGGGACAGATTCTTTAACAAAAGAGAGAAAATATATATTTCCTTGTTTGAATTTGATCTCAATGGACATCCCTCTACAAGGCAATCATCTTCAGACTCTTACTGATTGTTTGTCTTAGAGCCCAGCCTGATGATTAAGCCTATAATTATAATGATGATAGATTTTGAAACATAACTTCATTCTTAAAACTGTTTGCATACCTGTACATGTAGTAGAGGTTTCGGGTAGTATTATTTTAAATGCCCTTTAAGGTACAGTGTACTTGTTGTTATTAAGAAGTGTTTGTATATTTGTGTGACTTTCTGTTGCTATCCAGGATGATCCAGGCTGGATAATGTACTGTTAGTCATTTATACTTCCTAGTTGAGAAACATACTTGTTCTGGCAGTCACATTTTAAGGCAATCACAAAGGGAAAGTCAGTGTTCAGATGTTGTTTTAGCCCAGAGCTTGGCAAATAAAAATTAGTTGGCTTTATAAAGCTAGTTTACCCCATCATCTGGTCACTTTTTACAAGTAAAAAGGAGGAGTCTAGGAAAGAATGATGGACAATTTTGGTTAATCCTTATCAAAGTTAGGCTTTTTTTCTTTTTTTCATGTTAGGAACTCTTAGACTTAGACACATTGCACTTGAACATTAGAGCATTTCTCCTGAAATGCGTGTGTGTTTTTTTTTCATTCATTTATGATGAGCTTGCTTGAACTGAGGGGTACCTTACACTGTCTTGTTTGCTTTTCTTGGCAGTTCAAAGTAGCAGGGTTATATAGTATTGTTACCCAAGACCTGACCTGCAGTTGTTAAAGTAACTATTTAATTGATACTGGTTTTCTTTTAAGATCACAAAGAAAGAGTTGAAGCATTAGAAAGTCAACTGAAAAGACTGAGAGAAGAACCAGATTCAAGAGAGCAGAAGAGCTCATCTGGTTTTGAGTCTGAAATGGAGTGGGAATTTAATCAGGAAAAAAAGCTAAAGGAAATAGAAGCAAACCTTCAAATGGAGAGAGAACAGTGCCAGAAGATTGGAAAAGAACTGCTTGAACTAAATGCCAATTCTTTGAAAGTCAGTAACAAGGTATGGTGAAAATACAATTATAGGTTTATAGCACATACTTCACTCGAATGCAAGAGTGATCTTTGGAGTAATGAACACTACTTAACCAGTGATAAAAATAACGTCTGAAAAAAATTTAGGCCTGTACCAGAGTTGAACTCATGACCTCTGTGATACCAGTGCAGTGCTTTAGTTTACTGAGCTAACAAGCCAATGGGGAGCAGGTCATTATGTTTGTTCGTAATAAACCAGTGAAATGATGAATGAATGACTGTATATCATTTTAACGAAATGCAAATAAAGAAATGAATGTAAGAGTGATGTTTGCTTCATGATGAACACTACTTGAAGCAGTAGTGAAAATCACTGCTGTGAAGATCAATTAATCAGCAGTTCATGTACATGATTTTAGTCTGGCCTTGTTACTGTTTGTACAGACCCCTACAATAGTTAAACCAGTTTTAAAACTGAACTGGGTCAGCCTGTCTAAATATCACAAATGAATAATAGATATGGTAAATAGATATTCTAAAAACTATATACTTATATACTAGGGGATTTCTGATGACTTTTCTCTCCTCCATTTTCTCTTATATTTTAATAAGAAATTTCAATCATCCCAAGAGTGCCTGTTACATACAAGAGCTAGAGTTGCTTTTTCTTATAAAGTATTTTCATTGTGCTAAGCAATGTTGGAAAGGTCAAGATGTTTCAGGCTGAGGTATCCAGCCATTATTTCAGTGAATGCTTCAGGGTTGTTGTTAAGGTTTGCAGAAGCTGGTTTGTGATAAAGAGTAAGCACTACTTGGTATGCTTGTAATGTTTTGCTATCATTCTGCAAATTGCACCGCAGGCATTCAGTGAAATGCACTAGTTGCCACCTTATTTTAAAAATCCTGATTGCTCCAATATTTAACAATGTAAAGATACTATAACTATACAAATCTGATACAATATATTAAAGTTAATATGGCAACCAGGTGGACAATCAGACATGGTTTGATGCTACTCTGGTTTACAGATTTAATGAATGTAGCCAAAGAAGTTACAATTCATAGACCCAATTTTTCAACACTCCTATCTAGTGTGTTCATCAGGGGTGGATGATGAAGGCACAAGACAGGGGTGTCGAAATGTACTTGGTTAACATTTGGATGAGGCTGAAGGTGACAAAAGGCAAGTTTGTATCATATGAAAAGGCTTGGCAACCAAGCATACAACTGTAAAATGGACTATTGTAACTTCTTTGATTACATTAATTAAATCTGTAAACCAGAGTAGCATCAATCCATGTCAAATCTGATACACTTAGACTTTGAACAGTAGAATTTAAGCATGCCCTGGATATGATATAAACCCATGGTGGGAAAAAATAATTTGTTTACTTTTACCATCCTCTTTGAATCAATTGAACTTGTTCATATTAAATGCAAATGTTTTCATTTAGTCTGAAAATGGCTGGATAAAGTTGCTCACTGTAGAATGATGCAGTTTGCCAGAAATATCATACATAAGCTACTGTAACAGTACCTGTTGAAAAGCATCTTGCATGTGGAATTTGTTTTTGCCAAAGGGATAAAATCACTTCAAAATGCATGTATGTATTCATAGTGTGTGCTTACAGCTAAATCTACATCTCATTTTTGTCTTCTATAAAATTTTCAGGTATCTATGCCCTCTACTTCAGAAATTAAGGACATTACTGTACAACAAGAGTTAAAATATAAAACCAGTGAGCTAGCTTTGGCAACTGAGAAACTAGAAGCAAAGGACTCAGAAATGAAGGAGAAGCTGAGAGAAATGAGTGAAATGTCTGAATGCCTCCATAAAAAGGAACATGACATTAAAGAGATGAGCACAAAACTGTCAGAGATATACAAAATCAAGTCTCAGCCAAATGAAGCAAATACTAACATAGAAGCCTTAGGTAAGTAATACAGTGATATTGAAGCATACTGCAACAGCACATGTGTGTCAAGTGCAGGTAATCTCATGGTATTACATGCACTTGGTATGGAAGCAGGTGCTGCAATACATGTGAGTGGTGCTGTAAGTGTGACAGGCCACCAATATTTACATGTTGTACATTATGATATATGGCATACTATGATGATTTTGCAGGATTATATTTTGTGGTTTGTCCATGGAGCAAATCTTATGTTCTGAAATGATAAAATTTTCTTTAAAATCTGATTTAAATGATGTATTTATTCAAGCAGTGGAAAATGTAAAAATGAAGGCTGTTTATTGTTTTTATCTTCTGGTACCTGTTGGGTTACTGTACTTGAGTGAATTACAAATGGTTGACTAAATTTTGTATAATTATTGTGACCCTCCACACACTTCAGAGCAAGAGAAGGAAACTCTGGGGGGTAGACTGCATGAACTAACTACACATTGTGAACTAGTGGAAAACATGAAGGATGCTTTGAATGAAGCAGAGAAAGAGGTAGGTATCTGTTTTATCGAACTAGGCAATATGGTTTTTCTGCATAGTAGACAACCTCCTTCCCAGGCTCCTCTCTCTTCC